AATCGCACGACGGGATCAAACACTTTGGACAGGATGCAGCGAAGCCCCACTCCATTACGTGGGCCTCGCGCCACGGGGCGCGCGTGGGCGCGCGCGCTGCGCTGTGTCGCGCGCGACCTGGAAGTGCGCATAACCGAGAAAATCCATTCGGTCCAGGGCCGCACCCGCGCGGTTCGCCGCGGTGACGGCCGACGCGCGATCGCGCCACGAGCCCGCCCCCGCTGGCACCGAGTCCAGCTTCGGCATTCGCGCCCATTGGGGCTTGCAGTGGTCCTGCGCGCGGAGCAATCGGCGAAACGGAAGCTTGCCATTGCACGTGCCGCCGAGCAGGGAGCCTGCAGGCTCTCGCCCTCGGCGCCCCCAATGCACGAGCGGCCATGGGACTGGGCCGTCCGGCCCGCGGCCGCGAATTTGCGCATCGACTCCTCGGTCGGCAATCCCTCACGGGGGAACTTGCCGAGCCAGACCTCGCGCACACGGTCCTGCCGAGGCGCGCATCCCCGAACAATGCCGCCCGCGCATGCGAAATCGCGGCGCGCCTCCATGGCAAACGCCAGCGGCTTCTCCCGCTTTTCTTCGAGCAATTCCTTGCTGGCCTTCACGTATTCTTCCATTGCCGCCGCAATCCGCGTCGTCTCCTCCGCGGGCTTGGCGGCCGCCTCCGCCGGGGCCGATTGCAGACCCTCCTGGCGGCACGCCGCGCGGCGGCCCGCGTCCTCGCGCACCAACGGGGCGGGGGCCTTCCGCCCGAAGGCTTCCATCGCTCGCGACTGTGTCCGCAGCGCCATATTGATGTGGCACGGCTTAATCGCGAAATCGCGCCACTCCGCGGAAGAATCGCCCGCAAACGGCTTCGCGCCTGGCTTCGGGGCCGCAATCAACATATCGCGCATGGCCGCATCCGAGTAATCAATCGGGCGGACCGCCCCGATCGCTTCGGCCATCAGGCGCGCGACCGTGGTGCACAGCACCAGCTCGGGAGCTGGCGATGCGCCCCCCTCCGCCGCGTTGGCCGCTGCGACGAAGAGGACCCAATCGGCCTTGCGCGCCGCTGCGAGTGGGCTCATGCCCGCGGTAGACGCACGGAGACGCGCGCGCGCGCCCAGATGGCATTTTTGTCGGTGCCGAATGCGCCAGCAGGCAGATCGCCAAGCAACTCAACGATGTCTGAGCGAGCCAGCGCCATGGATGCTGCGCGCGCGTCGGAAAGCGCCGTGCACGTATCCCCCTCGGCGTCCTTATCGCGCGCTGGCGGTTGCACATGACATGACCCGCAGGCATCCAGCGCAAGAGGGCAGGCAAACGCACGCCGCAGGCATACTGCGCACCGGGGCTGACAGGCAGCATCCGCAGGCATACTGCGCACTGGGCCGGCATGCGGCAACCGCAGGCGCACTGCGTACAAGGGCCGGCATACGGCACACACTTGCAGGCATACTGCAACGCACGCAGGCATACTGCGCTACGGGGGGGGGCCGGCATACGGCACTCGCAGGCATACTGCGCTTAATGGCCGGCAAACGGCGCCCACTTGCAGGCATACAGCCGCGCGCGCAGGCATACTGCGGAGAGGGGCTGACAGGCAGCAATCGCAGGCATACTGCGTACAGGGCCGGCATTCGGCATTCGCAGGCATACTGCGCACAATGGCCGGCATACGGCACACACTGCAGGCATACTGCACAGAGGAATGTTTGCCGGCGTACGGCATCCGCAGGCATACTGCGCACAAGGGACCAAGCAAATACCGGCCGCAACTGGGCGGGGTCGCGCGGGACAAGAGGCCCGCAATAGCGGCATCCCGCAGCAAATACTGCCAACTACTTGGTCGGCATTTCGGCCCAGGATGACCCGTGCTCATGTGTGTCCTGACCTTCGAGCCGCAAAACCGACGAGGGACGTAGGTGCTCTCCACGAAGTAGACGCGCGGACCTGTGGGGGAGGAGGGGAGGGGGGGAACCTGCAACGGGAGAGAGAGGCGGCGGAGCGGCCAAGCGAACGCGCGCGCGGGAGGAGGGGCGAGGGGAGGAACCTGCGACGGGA